GGTTTTGAATGGGCTGCTGCTTGTCGCTAAGAGGCCACGAATTAGATGGGAAGCCTGATTCAAGTTTCTGCATCTCCCTCACGTGAGGGCAGTGACACTGCGACTCGAGCCGAATAAAGACGCAAAGCGTTTTTCACCAGTGGAACAGTAACTTAAAACAGTGAGCACAGGAAGATTGCTCTCTGGAGACCAAACCAAACAGCATTCTTATTTACCCAGGCTGGTCACACGTCCTGGGACCAGTCAGCGTACGAGCGAGTGCGAGCTGAAGCTAATTACAACTCTCTTTCATATAACCATGTATGTAAATAATCTGTCAACAGAGAGAAGCGTGCCTTCCACCGCGGCTGCTGGAGACTCCGGAAGAGATCCCAACACTCCCGCAGAGCCAGCCTGGATTTCCATCGCGAGGCAAAAGCAGAGGGGCATGCAGCAGGAGCAGGAACTCAACACAGAAAAACCTGTGGCTTTGGATGTTAGGCCAGAGGCAGAGAAACAGAGTAAAGAGAAAGAACGCACAGAGGTACTTACAGTACAAATTTGTGATGCTTTCATATCACCTTCCTCTTCTTTGGATCTACTGCTATGTTACCAGTCATGCCATAATGATTACAGATACTTAAGAGTATAATCATACGTCACAAAGACACTGCTCTTGGAAGTGTGTTACAGATTCAGAGTTCTCTCATTGTTCAGATATATAATTTTACATCTCCACGAAATCCTGGCACTGTGCAAGGTGGGTAAAATTTCTCGGGTGCCCAATGTATACTTACCAGATCTGTTGTGTGTGTTGCATGCTAAAATACCCCAAGTGAGGTGCTAAGTTGGACAGTCTCAGATCTCTCTCAGTACAGAGGGAACACATTCTCTTTAACTATCCTTCTAAGCACAGCATTTCATTGAACCTTCTATATCTCCTGACTGATTTAATACTGAATGAACAGCTCAGTCCCAGAAGCTCCTAGGTAACAATTTTTAGAGCCTTGAGAAGTGAAATAGGATAGAAATAGCTTCTGCACTGGCAGACAGTGCCAAGATATAAATTCTGCTTCTCTGTCTATGGGTAACTCAGACGCCCGTGTGGTGCCATGGAATACGGGCTGCCGCTGCCGCTTCAAAGAGCCCATGCGAAAGAGGGTGATGCCTGTAGCCAGTGATCTTCCCAGAAGACAAAGCTGTGCCAGCAGAAGCGCTTGGCGTTAATCCCGAATACTAAGAAGGCTTCCCTGGGACGGGGCTAGCTCAGGGATGCAGCAGCGTGCCAGTGCTGCCTCTATCGCCTCCTGCGCAGCAAGAACCCTGCACTGATGCAGGAGTGTGTGTGGCCTATACCAGTGTAGCATTCCCAGTGCAAATGGCCTACTTTCTTGCTTCAGATGGTACTGTTAGAAACCCAGATAGCTGTATTATATCCTGGAATAAGAGAAGATCTCTAGATGATGAAAAATAGCAGCGGTTAGATTAACAAGAAGTAATACCTAATAAATTGCCTAGGCAAGATTATGAACTGCAATAATGCTCAACATTGTCATAGCACTTAAAACACCAGGGGTTGAAATGATCCCAAAATACGGTTTCTGTGTCAGAATAGGAAACTCTAGATTTCAGCTGGCAATGTTCCCTAAAATTCATGCCTTGCATTTTATTTCCCTGTATCAGCTAACAGAGAAACATGCCAAGAAGCTCCTGACTGCAGCGTGTGAGGCTTGGTGCCACTGTACTTCTCCCACTTTCTCCCACATGGCACCAGACGCTATCACGTCAGGGTGGTTTTTGATATTGGCAAGAAAATCCATGGGAGAATGTGTTCAATTTCTTTTTTATGGAAAATCCATTCACCATCAACCCTCCAGAAATACAGTGCCCTAACCCACAAAATTTGGGAGGTGGAAGGGAAACACGAGAGAGCAAGGTTGTTTCCAAATCCTATACATGTTAGTAGAGGTGTGCAAAGGGCTTGAAATACATTTTGTGTTGAAGACTCTAATGACCTCCTCATAGATACCATTATGAATAAGGGATACAGAGGGATAGTTTTAATTTGTACAGCTGAGTATCATGGACGCTAACATGAAACCACTGGAGCTTTCTGAACAGGTATCAGCTCAAGTGGGAGGAATGTGACCAATGTGTGATGAGCGTGCGTGGTCTTTGGACCGTGACAGGCACCACATCCACCCCCTTTGCTCCTGTTCTTCCAAACTGGTCTCATTCTCTCTGCATTACTTGGATTTTATCCCTCTCTATGCCTAGGAGTTGGTGAAGCAGCAATGGAGCAAACCTTCACACTTGGCACCTAAAACCACTTCTGAAGAACAGAGGAAAGAGACGAAGTCTGAAGTGAGGGAGCCGCTGCTGAGACTGAGTTCACTGTCACATTATTTCCCTGGTAGGAAATAAAATGCTTAAAATAAAGCCTGTTATCTCACAACCTTGTCCAAAGAAATCCTGCTTCACTGTGCTGGAAAAGGGAGTAGGGGATAGATCGTAATTTCTTCCCCAGCCCCACATCAGCAAGGGCAAACTGTTTTCTCAGCATGCACGTCTGGGGGTTTATGTGGTGGCGGATTCTTTTGACCGCTTTGACTACAGAGTAGCCAAAACTCGTGTTGAAAGAAATGTGAATCAAGAGTGCTTGGCCGTTTCACAGGACAGGGTCCCAAATGCACTATCGCAGTGCAAAACATAAAATGCACGCAAAATCATTTTCAATAGGGTTCAATTTTAATGTGGTTTCCTCAGCAAGCTGGAATGATGGAATCTCAAACTGTCTGCCCATCAGTCCTCCCACAATAACTTCAAATCTATTGGGTGAATTTGAATTTGAAAGAAGGACAGAAGTTTGGAAGGTAATAAAATTCCTGTGAGCTGGAGGCTGGGTAAAGGAGAAATTCACACATGAATGTTAATGAAGGGACTTCATCTTGTTTGGCTTGGGTGTGAAACACAGGGCATGACAAGGAATCCAGGTCATCATGTTGGTTTTGGTAAGTTTAGGGACCAAAAGATATTCTTCATGAGAAAAACACTGCATTCTTTTGAGGACGGAATGGCTATTGCCTCAATAACATTGTGCAGAAGAAGCTTCCATGTGAAATGTAAAGATTTTCTGCTGTGGGGCAAAGGATGGGAAGTTTTTAAGGAAAAGGCTAGGGTGTGTAGCTGCACAGGAAGTGAACGTAAAATGTCCATGTGTTTTATTCACAGCAGCTCCATCACCAGCACTGGTGGATAAAGAGGCAATGAGCCACTTGAAGAAAGTCAGTAATACTGCTCCGGATCAGCCATCGTGGATGGAACTGGCCAAAAAGAAATCGCAAGCCTGGAGTGATATGCCACAGATTATAAAATAGAATGATGCTGAGAAATAACATCTTTCATAATTAAGTCAAGTATTTAACTGAACTTCTACAGACCAGCTAATCACAGTGAAGAATCTCTTGATGCAGGAGAAGGGTTTTATTATACAGCTGTGGAGAAAGAGTGCAATAGGTGCAGTCAAAAAGTTTACCTTCAACTTTGTAGCAATCAGGATTGCAATGGCAATGGATTACTTAAATTATGCTAAGGACATACTTACACTTTGGAAAATAAAACTTTTTGCCTTATGTATTTCCTGCGTTTTCTGCTTTTAATGATGTTTGCATTGAAATAGGACCTTTGCTAAACTTTGCTGAACTTCTGTTGTTGCTGGAAACTTCTATTTGTTATGGTTTTCTCTGTTTACATTTATAAATTGTACACTAACATCCTGGTTTTGTTGATGTGTCCCACTGGAATCACCTGAC